TTATGAAAAAAAATAAAATCTTTTCTTTTTTGAAATGAGTCTGGATTGACCCAGGAAACATAACCCATCGGGCCTTGGAAGAACCGAACAGATAACGCAGGTGAACGGAAAACTCTTCTTTTAAGTATCAAAGTACCCAAAATAATATTTAAGCCTCTAAAATAAAAATAAGGTTAAACTCCCATTTTGGTCCCTCAACTATTGTACGGACCTCGATTTAGTCCCTCAACTCAAAAAATCCCTGATTTGGTCCCTACTGTTTACCATTTTGGCCCCAATTTAGTCCCTCAGTTAAAAATCCAGTGATATTTCCCGTTAATTAACTTGGAGAATGATGACGTGTCCAAATAACTTGACACATCAGATGCATACTTGAAAAAAAAAAAACAACACGACAAAAAAAAAAATGACATGGAAAAAAAAAATAAAAAACTTAAAATTTTTTTTCTTTTTCCTTTTTCTTCTCTCTCCCTTCCCTTTCTTTTCCCCTTGGAACCCAACGCCTACTGGGTTCCTTCGAACCTAGGCGTCTTGGAACCCAGGGCTTGGGTCTCGATGGAACCCAAGCAACCTGGGTTTCCCAGGCGTCTTGGGTTCGATCGAACCCAAGCTCTGGGTTCGAAACCCAGGCTGCTTGGGTTCGATCGAAACCCAGGCAAGGCTCTGGGTTCAATCGAAACCCAGGCAAGGCTCTGGGTTTCGAACGAACCCAGATCTGGGTTTCGAACGAACCCAGGTGCCTGGGTTTCGAACGAACCCAGAGCTTGGGTTCGATCGAAACCCAAGCAAGGCTCTGGGTTCGATCGAAACCCAGAGCCTAACTAGGTTTCGATTGAACCCAAGAGAAAAAAAAAGAAAAAAATTCTCTTTTTTTTTTTTCTGTGGATTTGGTTGGTTGATGATGATGAAGAAGGCAAGGCTTGCTGAGGAACTGGAGAGCACTGTTGTTCTAGGTTCGAATGGGTTTAGGGAAGAAAGGGGGAGAAGGATTCAGGTTTTGTAGGAGGTGGGACCCACTTTTTTTTCTTGTTTGGTTTTGGGCAAAATGGGTCATATTGCCCTGTCATCTTTTTTTCCAGGTGTGCGTTTGTGGTGTCACTTTATTGTTGACATGTCATCGTGCTTTTGTTAATCAAGGACACGTCACTAGATTTTTAACGGATTTTTAACGGAGGGACTAAATCGGGGTCAAAATGGTAAATAGTAAGGACCAAATCAAGAATTTTTTGAGTTGAGGGACTAAGTCGGGGGTCCATACGATAGTTAAGGGACCAAAATGAGAGTTTAACCTAAAAATAAAAATAAAATAAATAAATTCTTTAACTCTATTAATAATATAAATAAGTCTTTTTTATTTATTGATGTCTATGATTTCAAGGTAATATTAAACAAGAGTTAGATAGTTTATCTGTTTTATTTTTAGTTTAAAAGGTTAAATACTATTGGAGGAAGTTTGGGGTTTAAAAAGGGTTTTTGCCCAGGAGAACCTGAGTCCTTATTTTCTTCGCCAATGAAGAACAAACCCCAAATTCTCACCAGATCCACGCCAAGGACAGAGACTAAAACGAGTAGAGGCATGCTTCTTGTGGCCGATTGCTTCCGGGTGATCCATTTTGGACCAGTCCCAGACGCAAAGCCCTTGAGGCAGCCTCTACGCTTTCTGTGAAAGGATTTTACCTAAGTCGGAAGCAAAAAGAAGCAAAAGGAGCCGCCAGAATCTGGCCAGGAAACCGCTGGGAATTGCTTCTCCGATCTCTCTCTTCTGCCTTTCTCCAAACCCAGAAAGTTCACCTTTTTTTTTGCTTTTAGGACTGTCCGCTCTCTCCAAAAATCAGAAAAATGGAACCCAAGAACAGATCCGGATTCCCCCCTTTTATCCGATTGCTCTCCCTCTCTCTTTCTCCTTTTTTTTTTTTTTCTTTTGCTGTCGAGTCTCTCTCTCCTAAATCTCAGATCTGAAAAATCCCCCCTTTAAAACCTACCGAAAGCCCTATTTATCTCCATTTTTCTCACGAGCGTTGCACGACTCCTCTTCACCCACCTACCGCGAAGCTTCCTCTTGGATTAAGGGCGGATTCGGAGATCATCGGAGATTGAGGGAGGCAAAAGGTTGAAAATCAGCCACTTGAGGAAGACAATCTAATTTTAATCCCCCTTAGAGCCACAACGACGTTGTTTTGAGGGAGTCAGTTTCGCGCTTCAACCCTCATTTTTTTCCTCTTGTCATTTTAGTCCCACATTTCCTTTCTCAGCACATTTGTCCCTACAAAAATGAAACGTCAATTTTTAATTTGTTCTCGATTTTGTACAAAATGACATTTAATTAAATTTAATCTCCATTTTTCTTACATAAAAATTTTCGCATAATTCCCATGTCACATTTTAAACTCAATAATTTGGAGAATTTTTATTCAAAGTTTTAATATTTGTGGAAAATTAATTGTTTTTGTGATTTTTGGATAATTTCTGATTGATGGGGTGAAGATCAAACTGTGATAAATTTTGAATAAAATTAAAAAAGAAAAAAAATAGATTCTATGTGCAAATTTGAGTTATGACCAATATTTAATTGTATTTTAATTTGTATAAAAATTTAGAGATAAATATTAGTCAATAAGTATACAAGTAGATCTACACATTATTAATTTGATACCGTTTCGATTATGTGCCAAGTATACGATTATGTACCAAGTATAGACTTTTTGAATAGTTGGGGTAAATATCAAGTACCCAATTTGGTCCCTCAACTTTTGGTTTTGGACTAAGTTCCTCTCTAAACTTTAAAAATTGCCAAATTCATCCCTTTGGTTTATTTTCCCGTTACCAAATTAGTCGTTCCCATTGAAAGAAGTGCATAGGTGGCACGTAAACTTGCTACAAATTTTTACTTCTTAAATTTGAATAATTACACGGGAAAAAACAAGCATTAATTGATGACATGGATATTATATCAGCATCCATATTAGCAAATTTTAATTTGACATGGCAACAAGTACTCCTTTTGTTTAATCTTAGGTGGCACAATTAATAATATTTATAATAAATTAAAATGTAAAGTTACAAAACTACCCTTCCCTTATTTTCTTCCTCAATGGTCAATCCCTCCATCTCTTTAATTACTAGCATTTCCTAGCTCGTTTTACAAGTTGTTGGGATTGGGATATATATTTACTTTTAAAGAAAAAAATATAAGTAAAAATTTACTATTAAAATCAAATAAAAAATTTATTATTTTATAGTTTAAATTATATTAAATTGTAAAATAAGGACTCTTGGATATGAAAGACCCTTAATATCAAGAGGTATATCTCTCATTCAAGGGTTTATATTTTACAGTTCAGTATAGTTTAAATTACAAACACTTTTTCGATAATAAAATATCAAAATAATATTTTACTTTTAATAAGCTGTATTAGATAATGATAATATCATCAAGCAATTTGTGAGCTATACATTATCCTCTTTACTGTTCTTAAGAATCCACTTTAGATATTACATAAATTTATAAAGTTAAAACATAGCAAATCACTTGTTAAATGACATGAGAAATTACTCAAAATGTAGTATTGAAGTCTTAATTAGTTTTTAAAAAATATAAACAAAATCCTTTTTTTTTTAAAAAAAAGTTTATTCACACTAACATGTATTTTTGTTGTAAAAAAAAAAGAAGTTATTATATAAAATAATCTTACATTTAAATATAGAAGGAAAATTTGGCTACATCAACAAAAGGTGGTTTGTGAGACAAAAGTGAGGGGGTAAAAATGGAATTTTGATGGTGGAGTTGGAGATATATGCTAGGTGAAAGATAATAGTAATTAAAAAAGGCATCAATTAAGAGAGAAAGTGAAGGGCATGTGAGGCATTCAACTTTGATGAGTTGTTAAAAGAGAAAAAAGAACTCCACAACCTTTTAATGTTGAAGTGCCTTTGGAGACCCAAAATAGGGACAAGAAAGGTAATAAACGTCTAGTAGAATTTGTAACTTGTGAGAGGGCCAAATAAAAGAGAAATAGGAAGAAAAGGCGAATGATGAAAGAGATAGGAAAGAGGGACCAAAATAAGAGAGATATTTAAAATTTAAAAATAAGAAAGTTGAGATTTCTCTCTTTCCTATCTCTCTCTATTTCCCACTTTTGTTCCTTTCTCTTGCTTTTTTTCTCAATCCTTCCTATCTCTCTTATACTATTGCTTTCTGTCCCTTCATTCTATACATTTTGTGTACTAGTTTACCTTATAAAGGAAATATGAAGAAGCTCTAATAGTCTATTTGTAATTTTATAATTGGTATGGAGGCAATTTGGTCTTTAAGGCATTTGAAAATAAGAAAGTTGAGACCTCTCTCCCTCCTATCTCTCTCTATCTCCCATATTTTTTCCTTTTTCTCACTTCTTTCTCAATCCTTCCTATCTCTCACATACTATTCCTTTCCCTCCCTTCATGTTGTATGTTTAGTTTACTATTTTACCCTTTAAAGAAAATATGAAGAGACTCTAATAGTTTATTTGTAATTTTTTGATTGGTATAGAGGCAATTTAATTTTTAAGGTAATTGAGTCAATGATTATTTAAAGGACACTGATACATACACTCTCCAAAAGTTACACCGTCCAAAAGTTACACACTCCATTACATACTGGTGGTTTCTGTTAGTGTGCCGTTAAAATTGATGGAAACCATTAGTTTTAACGACAAAAATAATGAAAACTGATAGTTTTAACGGTATAAGTCACGGAAACTGTCAATTTTAATGGCACACTAATGGAAACCATCAGTATGTAATGGAGTGTATAACTTTGGAAGGTATATATATCATTTCCCTTATCTAAATGAACGTTTTTATTCTTTGAACATAATAGCTCTTCACTCATAAATTCTTTGATTTTTTAGTAATCAAAATAGTCTCCCCTCTCACAAAGTGAATAGTAGCTCTCCCCCCTCTAACAATGTAATTTTTTCTTGTTTTGCCTTTCATTGTTTCTCCCTTTCTCCATTATACTCTAGCCTTTTGGTCTTTTTACAAAATATTTGTTTAGTTTCCTTTTTACTCCTTGAACCTTGCTTTTCTCTTTATTTTTGATGAGGGGTAAAATTGGTATTTAGAATAATTATGTTAACTCGAAGTCATTTTCCTTTTTTGCCCTCACGTTTTATTCCAATCTCCATGCTCTTGAGTTTGGTTTTTTAGTCCTTTATAGGTAAAAATAATGCCACTTTTTAAGTAGGCTAAAGTATGCATTTAGCCCATTACCTTAATAAATTTGATAATTTTAATCCTTCACCTTATACTATAAAATTTTTAGCCCTTGAACTTAAAGGTTTGAAGGTTTGAAGGTTTGAAGGTTTGAAAATTTTAGCCCCTAAACTAACAAAATCCGTTTACACTTCGTTAACGAGAATAAAATATTTATAGGACTGGTCCTCAAAGATTAAGAATGTAATAATTTAGTTCCAAAAGTTTAAAAATTAAAAAAATAGTAAATTAAAAATAATTAGTATATGACTTTGCTACATACATAAAAATAGTATTAGATATCTATAATTAAATCGAGTGATTAATTGAATATAAAGAAAGAAATTTGACTAAGATTAAAGAAAATTTATTGACTGTATTCTTTAAGTCTTTTGGATTTTCTATTTTAATTCAGCTAAGAAATTTTCTTTAATTTTAGTTAAAATTCTTTTTTCAAACTAAACTAGTCACTCGATTTGATTTTATATATCAAATACTATTCTAATGTATGTGAGAAAGTGTTGACGACCACTTAAGATTTCAAAATCAATGAAAAATTAAGTGTGAAAATATAAAAGAAAAAGGAGTCATCACTTATCCAAATTATAAAGTGGGACAAGTCACTTAAAATGGGTTTGTGTAGAGATCGGGGTTTGGGGGTTCAGTTAGGTGTGAGGAAGGGCATACGCGCACCTCGCAATTCTTCGTTTAAACATGGTTGGATACTTTAAAATTGGGGTTTTGATTCAACTTATTCATTATCTGTTTACTTAAGTCTTAATAAGTAAGTTTGAAAATAGATGGACCAAATTGTAACATCTTTTAAACTTTTGCACTAAAATGGACAAAATCAAGAACATGCAGGCACAATAAACACAAATAAAGATTAAATGGACTGATTTGATTAAATTCAAAACATGGAAGACTAAAATAGAGTTAGACCCTTGGACTAAATCACTAAATCATAAAACTTTGGGGTGAAATTGAGATAAAATAAAAGATAACTTTGACTTTGACCAAAATTTAAGTTAATTGAGAATTAAAATTAATTAATCAAGATAATTAATTTAATTGAATAATTAATTTAATATTAATCAAAATTAATTAAATTTAATTAATCATATTTACCAATCATGATTTGAAAATAATTAAATAAATTTAATTATCTCAAATCAAATTCAATAAATATGATTAATTTATTTTAATTAAAATTAATTAATTTCATTAGTCATAAATTAAACTAACCCACTTAATTAATTAATAAAAATTTTCTTTATATATATATACTTTTACTTTTTTATTATTATATTTTTTAGTTTTTAAATTTTTTTTTTTACTGGATTAAATCGGATTAACCCGATCCAAAAACAAGATTCGAGCATAAAATAGACAGACAAAAAATCAAACATGCGAACAAAGCAGGAAAACTAGGCTTCATCTAATTTAAATAATTTTCCTGAAGAACATACATTCAAATTCAAAACCTAGTAAATATTCCTTGCATGATAACAAATTTGTCATTCATTTTTCAACATTTTTCAACATTTTACATGTAGATCTCAATACTCATCATTAAAATAACACAAGACATCAACAACAGTAAAAATCTAAAGTTGAAATTCCAGGAAAGCGGTAGATCTGGCGCCAAAGTGCCAAACGGAGGAATCCCAACCACGGGATCAAGCTCTGTCCATCACCTTCACCACCCCTCCTGAAATCTCCCAGTTCCAGACGCTTACCTAAGGTGGAAACCCAGAAAAATATAAACTCTCTTCGGCTAAGCTATCTCCGTTCGATCACCCCTTCAATGCTTCCAACAACTACCCGTTTCTACCACTGTCGCCAACACCAAAAAACAGACCAAAGAACCCCCTTTTCTAACCTAAAACTCTCTATTTATACCCACAAGAGCAAGGGCAAAAATCCTCCTCTTCCTAGCCTTCCGATCCTACCCTTTTTTTTTTTTTTTTACCGTTGATTCCTAATACGCCAAAATTTGAACCCCTTTAACCTCTCGACAAGCTACTGATTTCTGCAGGGAAAAGCAAAGGACGAGTCTCTGGCCTTGTCTCTTGTTCGGGGCTTCTGGGTGTGGGGCCATCTTGCTGAAGAACAGGACAAGGCGCAGAGCAGGGAGCAGGGGCACAGGCTGGGTGCGGGCAGAGGCACAGAGTGCAGGATCAGGCGCGCAGAGGCCAGGGGTGCAGAGGGGAAAGTGCAGAGCAAGGCTGGGCACAGGAGCAAGTGCACAGGCGCAGGCGCAGCGTGCAGGGTTGGTGCAGCAAGCGGGCTCAGGCGGGTGCAAGGGTGCAGGCGCAAGGCTTGGGCGTAGGAGCAGGGCGGTGCAGGCAGGCAGGGGGCAGGGGCGCAAAGCAAGGGCGCTGGTTCGGGCGAGGCCGAGCAAGGCTGGTGCAGGGGCGCAGGGCGCGGAGTGCAGGGCTGGCTCAGGTGTGAGGGAGGAAGAAGGTTCTGGAGAGAGAGAGAGAATGAAGAATTTTAAATTTTTTTTTTTTTTTTTTGTTTTGGGTTCGAGTATTTATGGATTTTGGTTTTGGGTTTGGTTTTTAGGGTAGTTGATGGGTTTTGGGTTTTGGATTTTGATTTTGGGTTTTTTGGGTTTAAGGCTTAGAATTGAAATGGGTTGGAATTGGGCCATTTAAGATGGGTTTAAGGTGTAAATGGGTTTTGGGTTAAACTTTAATGCATTTCACCCTTCAACTTTTCATTTATTCAATTGGGTCCCTCATCCTTCAACTTCTTTCCAATCCTTTGCAAAAATCCCCTTTTTTTACTCACGAACCTAACAAGGAAAACAAAATAAAATATATTAGTTAAGATAAAACTTAAAAATAAAATTTTATTAAAAATTTTGAGTTATAACATAAAACCATCTATTAATTCTTTTTAGTTATTAATTTTTTAATTTTTAAAATTTTAAAACTAAATT